ATTTGAAAAATAAATATATGTATATACACATTCATATACACGTACACATACTTACATATACCTATGCATGCATATTTTCAAACGCCGTACTTCAAAAGCTCCCTAGCCACCCCCTCTGTCTGCCTTTGAGCCAAGCCGTGTGAAAGCCGGCGGGCAGCCCCGCTTCCCCGGCCCCGGGGCTCACTGGTTTTGGGGGAAGGCTCCAGCCGGGCTCCCACGATGTGGGGGATGACAGTAAGAAATCTGCACCTGGGAATATCTCTTCCCTGGTCACAGAATAATTACAGCGCATCGCCAAATGGTGCTGTTCATTAGTATTACCTGGATCAGTCACTGGATTTTCATTCACCCTCCACACAAAAATTATTTTGCAATCCGCCAACTATTTCCCAGAGCTTTAGAATGCCCTTTAACTATATTGCATGGCAGGCACCGCTTTGCCCAAAACAAACATGCACCTCAGGCTTGTGGACTATATTTCTTTCAGGGTTTTCTAGCTGCCATCACCTATTGATATTATTTGATTTGCAGCCGCTATTCAAAGCAAACAAACAAAATCTCACAGCTTCTTAAAACTTCCCTCACATAAGCCACTGATATTTACTGGGAGCAAGAGCGACAGATAGAGCTCTGTCACACCCGTGCCCACCTGCCTTTAGAAAGAAAAGCAAATGTTTAGCAAATTATTTCCTTTCAAGTTTTCAGCCTGCCACTCCAGTTTTCCTGGTGCCCCTCCCCAAAGTGTCTGATGCTTCCTCCCATGGCCATGAGCATCAGCCAGGATGGACAGACCTTTTCTGGGTGCCTGGCGGTCCCCAGAGCAGCATCTTTCCCACTGAATCCACTGCCCAAGAAGTGCACGGCTGGCTCGGCTGCTTGCAGACCACCCAGTTACTAACCTGCTTGAAATAAGTTCCCACCAGTGGATGTTTAAGGCGTTAAATGCGTGGGCCTGTGCTGCAGGCATCCCAGAGTAATGCCCAACAAACACCTTTCCAGGCTCTTGTTTGGCTGGTCCCTGTGGAGCTTCTGTCCTCCCCAGTACAATATTGCACAACCCACCAAGAATGGGCTCCTGGGCTGCTGCCCCCAGGATCTACTGACATGCACGTCTTCCTCCAGCCGTGGTCACATCGACATTTCCTTTAGCTGAGAGCCAAACCCCAGGTCCACAACTGTATTTCAGCGTGAAACACCGGTTCAGATATTCACTTTCTGCTCATTTTCCATCGGATATTTCTGGATGCTTCTGCCTTCTGCAGGAGGCTCTCCTCTTCCCAGCTAGCCCACAGGCTGCCTTTCATTTCATTTGCACATAACTTCCCGCACACCAACGTTGGGTGAATCTCGACCTCCAGACATTAATGGCAACTTTCCTTATGGCTTCAACAGAGACAGATTTTCCCCACAGGATGTGCTTTACCACGCCAGCAGTTATTCAAATGCCATTTTCACTGAGCATCTGCAACAGGTATTGTTATTTGTTTGCTTTTTGTGTCAAAAAGGAGCTACTCGGTGTCTCTTTGCAGCAAGTTGCTGCCATAAAATTGTTGGGTTTATTAAAAAAAAATGCTTTCAGTCTAATGAGGTGAACAAATCCTTATGTCTTAGCAACAGCTCCTTGCCTATATCAAGGGTGATGGTGGTTCAAGAAGCTCTTTGCAGGAGACTAAAGCACCAGCTACTGCGCAACATTTAATTCTAACCACACTCTGGACCAAGAGCAACAAAATCTCAATACATGGTTTAATTTCTTCCTGAAGGAAATCTGAATGGTCATAACGACAATGAGCACTCAGCTCCCTGAAAAGCCAGCATTTTTTTCATAAGCCCTTTTAATGCAATTATAGGAATAGAGCTCAGCAATTAAATCAAATGTATAGGTTTCTCCTATGTAAAGAAATAAATATTTCCTTTTAAAGGTAATCTAGCCTGCACACCAGAGAGTAACAGCAACTGCGTACAAGACACGGATGTGGACTTTTATTGTTCCCCACAACAGGGGGGACAATTGTGATACTGAGCACTTCATCACTGTATACAAACTTGACATCTGTGTCTGACTTTGTCATGAATTAAAAATGAAGAGGAAGGCTTCGTCTGATTAGAGTGTAGCTGCAGTCACCATAAGGTACAGGCAGGCACCCCTCAGGTGAACAACCAACAGAGCTCAACTGTATCTTCCTGGGTTTTTTTTTAAATAATATTTTCATAATGTAGTCTGATTACAGTGATGCCTTAATTTATTTATTTCTGTGGGAAAAGCAGTAGTAATTAACTTGTACCATGGCCTGCAATTTACATGTTAAAGTTTACAATGATTCTGTCATAAGGTTGTAATAAGCACCATTTTACAAGGGAAACTCAATAATTGAGGGATTGTTTTGTTCATGGCTTGCTGGGCGAGCTTTTACTCACGCTCCCTCCTGCTCCGTGCCGGTGCACTGCCGTTGATTCCAGTGTGGTTCGGTCTGATCTGCATCAGGGCGAGAACAAAATCCGTCAGTCTGGCTCCAGGGGAGCTGACAGCAGATCAATTTGCCTTGCCGCCTCCTCAACGACAGCCTGCTAGCATAACTAAACCCAGTCACAGGTACATAAACATACTCTGACATTTAATACAGAATAAAATACACCTTTAGAGGTGGTGGCTGCTTGAGCCAGGGCTTCACGTATATGCTCTTTAGGGAGTGAACATATGGCATTTGTCCCAAATACAGTTAAATTTAATGGGTGAACACCCCTCTCTTCACTGACCTTGCGTACCTCCCCCGTGTGCTCCTCCAAGTCCCTCCCTATCCTTTGCAAGTCCCATCCACAGCATTCAGCTCCTCTAACATTAATATGCGAAACCGCATTTTCTAAACTACTGCAAACAAAACTATGCGAAGGATGAAAAATAATTAGCTGTGTCTCAGCATCTAATATATTTGCATTGTTTAGACAGAGTAGTTAATCATTGGTAAGACCACAACATATTGTGTGAATTTGAATTATAACTAATACATATTGAGCAGAAGGTTATTAATTACATTTAAAGGGAGTATTTGATATTATTATTATTGAGAAACAGAATGCTATTAGTTATATTACAATGCTCTGGCAGGATTCTGGTGGCAATGCTGTGCAAAGAGCCATTTACTTCTAGACTCTTTTGTCTGTTGTTCAGAAAGGAGGTACTTAGGGCAAGTAAAAGGCACCACGACCCACAGTCCTGTTCCCATTAACACTCCCGAAGCACTGAGCGATATTGAAGGGGTCAGCGAGGGTCTGCATTTTTTAACGGTTTTTAAATGTAGGGTAAACTTTTCATTTGCTGAAAATAGTTGGTCTGCTGAAATGTCACTTATTCCCTTGGGCTGGGAATTGGCAAAGGACGGTCTGCATGTGGTCCCCACCACCGGGCCCAAATCCCCAGAAACGACATCCGAGGGATGGAATCAGATCCCAGATTTAATTAGAGGTGAAGTATTTCCCAGTGTTCTCTCTCTAAAATGGCTCTTACCTGGAGAAAAGAAAAGCTTAGGGCACACCTTTTTTATTTAAAAAGGCAATTGTATTAACTCAGCTGAATTTTGCATTGGAATTGCACTATCGCTTTGACAGTTTAGTTCCCTGAAGATTGCAATAAAGGCTCTGTTACGCTACATTTTGTCCCCATTTGTCTTATATACCATTGCCTTGCCTTTGGCACAATAAAAATAATCTTTAAAAATAGTACCATAAATGGATTGACTTTGACCTTCTGAGTATCTTGTCAATAAAATAAAAATGATAAATCTGTTTCAGAATGCCACTAGCATAATATTAAAGCAGAGTTATAATCTGAAAAGTGACATTTGAAAGATGATATTAGGGGGAGGGGTCTTATTCTCTGTCAACAGTGTCACATAAATACGCTCTATTTACAGTGCAAAGAGGTGATTTTGCTAACTGCCAGGCTCGCTTCCGAAACTAGGTTGTGCAACTCCTGCGATGTGCTCTCTGCCTCTTACATCATCATTAGCAATTAAGGATTACTGCAGCAAGAAATTAGCTGAGCCTTCTGTTGCTGATGCATAAAGCAGAGCAATTCCACCTCAGTCTCCTCCTGTGACCAGCTCTGCGGTGCTAACACAGCAAAGATGGACTTTGCCTCATAGAGAAACGGTTAACGTAACCAAGAAAAGGCCCTTTTTTCTACATGATCAGCTTTTTGAAAACAAACAACTTCTAAAAGAATCACTGCAAGGCTTCTTTCTATTAGGTGATAAGAAACTACTGAATATTCTGTAAAAAAAAAAATCAAGAGATGTATGAAAATAAACAGGGCAGGCACGTAAACAAACAGACATTGAGGGGCAGCAGTTTCGATTCAAATTTCGCGATGCATGCACAGTAGCTCTGCCGCATTTGGCTTTATGGATACATGCCTTAGGCGAGCCTGACCTGTGGCTTGAATATTTGCAAGCCTAACTCGAGCTTATTTCTAAAAACCCACGGTACTGTTGGTTTTTCACCCTTTCTTTTTCTCTTTTTAGCATTTCTTTTTTTCATTATTCTAAATATGTATTTGAAAGTATGTGAAGTGCACTTTATACTTGAGCATCAATTTATGTCGTGATTAAAATGCTCATGCATATAATAAACTAAATTAAAAAAACATATTTTCAAAAAATCACAAGACTTTGGAACCGCAAAACATTATTTAATTTCTGAGGAGGAGGGATTCAGACGTTAATCCCTAAAACTAGGCTGAGATCACATTCAAAGGGTTAAGGTTTCTGGTTCTGATTCAGGTATGATGAAAATATAGATAACTAAAATCTTTATGTTAGCAAGCTTCCAATTTTATATACTTTTATATATTTAATTTCAGTGTTTGCCTTGAAAATGAGCCCAATCCTAGACTGAATCTGAACATAGGAGGACGCATCCATCTTTAAGCGGTAATTAATAGTATCCATGCGAGTTAGCTTGAATTAACTTATTTAATCAGCGTCCTTTTTCACCCCTTCCAGCTCCCGAGTGCTCCCCCGAGGGACACCGCATCCTCCGCAATCCCTACCGCAGCACCAGGTTTGACTCGCTGGAGCTGCAGCGAACGGCGATTCAGGACCTGGTTTGTGACCACTCCTTGCCACCAGCATGGTACCGTTTCATGATCGACAGCAGGCCCGCAGAAATGCCAACGAGATGTGTCGAAGTCAGTAAAACTTAAGCACTAACCCTGGTGAACTTGAATAAATCCTTTGATGTGATTTTCCTTTCCAGCCACCTCTATACTCTCAAAGCCAGCAGGCTGCAATGGGGGATAGGTGAGTGGTAATGGGAAAACCACTTTTCCCATAATAACGATAGTATTGTCATATCCAAGGGCAGTAGTTAAGAGTCCCTATGGACTGGGCATTATTCAAACATAAAACAAGGTGTTTCCAGCTCTAAAGAGAGATCCTTAGTAATCCACATATGTCACTGTAAGTTATGCTTTTTTCAAGCAATTCTATTGCTTTAAGAATGGATTCTGGAACCTGACTCAATAATTTATTGTGAATTAGGAATATATCCTTATTATGAAATCAGAAGGGAAAAATCAGAAAAATGAATATGAAAAGAGGTTCTTTAGTGATACAGAAGGAAAAAGCTAAATTTGAGTCTTTTTCCGCTATTACCATTTCTTGTATTATTTAGTTTCATAAGTATGCTAACTGCTTTCTGGAGCAAAAAAGCTCCACTGCATAAGACTACTCTAAAAAAAGAAAAAACAAAAATTATCTGTTTTTATGTGTGTTTAATATGTATGACAATAACTTTTAACTTGCAATCATTGCTGCCAGAGCAACTTGAGACCCTAACTAAAGTCATTGCGATCGCAAATAGACCAGCTGCAGGAGGTTAGAATAATTTCAAACGCATTGTTAAACAAAATTATTCAGAAAATAATAAACTAATTACCATAAATGACTTTAAAGATGAAATATTCAATCTAGAGTGCCAGGAAGTTTAATATTAGGCAATGCTACCCTAGCTGGAGAACCTTCTCGAAATTAGCAAACAACGTCTCATATCCATTCAAAATGGGCCTGTGAACTTGTCACAGTAGAAGTATATCTTCTTAATCTAACATTAAATGAAATGTTGAGAGATAATTGTTACTTCTGTGGGATTTCTAACTCTCTGCATACACAAACCATAAATCTAATTAACGTGAACAAATTGGCATGATTATTATTGAAATATTCATTTCATGGCAGGTCATCCTTGAATATCCCAATGCATTATGTACTTTATTTTTACAGGTTGCTCTATAAGCACATATGTATTCTATTAAATTAATTAATTTGTCATTGTATTTCAGCAATTTCAAGTATTTAGTAATGCTCGACTGTATGAGATTTCTTTCCAACAATACATGCTTTGTTTCTTTTAATCTCTCCTCTGGAGTTTTTTTATTCAGGTTTGTAGAGCTATATTCATTAGTTTAGTTTCTTATCTTGTAACATCATGCTTGCCATTGGTTTCTTCATTATCCTCTGAATGACAGTAAATCTCTGCTTTGCCATGCTGATGAAGGATTACATCTGTTAGATGTCACAACTGGAAGAACACGCTTCTTTTAGATCTTCACGTTCTAAATCTGCCTCTAAGTTCCATCTCTTCCACTTAATTAAATCATTGTTTAATTTGGTTTTCCATTTAATTTGAGCAAAACCTCTGGAACAAAATAATTTAAATTAATAACTGCACAGCTTCCATTCTTTAATAAGCAGTTATTATTGGACATTTCAGCCTGGCTGGAGTGAGCTGATTTTAATTAAAAAAGTCAAAGACAAAATCCTGAACAGGTAGAAGAGAAAAGAGACCAAATAAAGCCCGACAATACAGCTGGAGAGTTAAAAAGTACATTACTCCAGCACCTTGTAAAATATATGCCTGGTGATACCCTATGATACTGGCCGGATACAGTTAGCTGCTTATCAATGGATAAGATTAACTTCTTAATTCAGAGTAATAGTAGGTAAGGATTCTCGTCTCCCAATTGAGCTCAAAAGGGATTTAAACCATAATGGAGATTTTGGGGTCCTGCCCAGCTTGGGAGAGAACTGCGGCAGGACAAATGGCACGTGGTGGGTGGGCACGAAGGAGGTGAGCTCCTGAGATCTGGCTGACGTGCCTGGGCAGGGGTAGGCTGACTCTTTCAGACACATTCTCAAAACTTGTATTCTGAATCTTGCCACAAAAAAAGCTCCATAATAAAAATGTGTCCCCACCTCCATATAGTTTCATAACCGTAGAAAGTAGTATATTCAACAGAGAGCAGAACCAAGTCACAAACAGAAGTTATGAGGGCCACAGTCTACAACCATGCCACAGCTAAGAGGCACAGCAACTTTTGTAATGAAAAACAAGCAATTCTTAAGAAGCCGCTTCTCGTCCGCTAATTTAAAAAAACAAGTGAAAAACAAAGGGAAAAAAGGCAGAACAAAAACCCAAAAGCTTTTTTGTCAAAAAAGAGTGAAAATATGAATTGTATTCCTTAATTTCTCCATCCCTTGAATCCAACTACTGTCCATAAACTTATTCCTCCAGTGGCAAAATATTTTTGATTGAAATAGCTTTCCAATTTAGGCTTTGCCTGCTGTATTTCTCTGGGGGGGAAAATGAACGATCCTGACCTTCCTCTCTCTATTTCTTCCTCGTCTCTCCCTAAGGAGGCACAGCAATTACCAGGTCCTGGGCATGCACTCTTGCCCACAGCCACTTCCCCATCCAACGACAAATCCTAACAGAAAAGCCACACAAACTTGCAAATTTTGTATCCCCAGGTATTGAGGCTGTTGCATACAGATCACAAACAACAGTTTGCTCTTCAAGAACTGCCAAATTCGCTGTGAAAGGCAAAAACACTAAAGGAAGGAAGCATAGGGAAGCTTTTGCTAAGATTAAGGCACTGTACTAAGAGCAAGAAACAATGCACAAACACAGCCAGACCTAGTAGTAAAATGGCCTTCAGAGGAAGAACAAAAGTGACATAAAAATTAAAGTTCAATGGAAAGTCTATTAAAAATACAGAAGAGTATTTAACAGTCAATATAGGAAAAAGATATATCGGTTACAGAAATAACTATTCTTTTAATTCAGGCTTCTGAATTAAAATAATATAGGTATACACATACTTCTGTATAGATGTACATATGGACAAACTCCAGCAAAGGAATGAATACTAAAAAGAAATGAGAGAGAAAACAACCTGCTAATGTTATCGAAGATCTGCTCTACAGTCAGATAAAAGATCAATATGTGGATTACAGAAAAGCAGTGTATGCTGCAAACCATAATGCAAATCCAAATGCCGTGCCATGCTAACAACAGGCAGCCCTTGCAACACTGGCTCACAGTGAAGCCAGAAACATGACTGGAAATGTACTTCTTCCTTCGTTCCTTCCCCTTGTTTACATGGAGGTAAAAAAGCATAGATTATACTCTGCAACCTTAAGGAAAAACAACAATTAAGAATTTGATTATGCAAACAGTAATTGGTTCTGGAGCCAGCAATAATACTCATGATACCGTACACGAGTTGGATTCATTACTTCTCAAAACAGTGCTAACATTTCCAGCTTTGAGTAGTCAATTGCAAACAGCAAACGATAAGCTGAAAAGAAAGGGATTAAAACCAGAATGACCACTAAAGCAACTGTCACTGTCAAACACTTGCCCTCTGAAACAGAGGATTCATGGTACCATGTTCTTTGAGCAGAGAAATTAATACAGATGTTACCACACTGACCGCAAAAATCACTGCGCACCCACTGGTCTCACTGGTCTCCAGATCTTCTGAAATCTCAGAGTACCTCATCAGCTAGCAGTCCTCCCACAACACCCATCAATAGAGATAGCCCAGATGTATGGTTCAACATTTATATATGGATACATACAAAAATATGCATGCTACCTGGAATGATAGGCACACGCTAGGTGCGTGCACACACACACAGAGGTATAGAAGTGCACAGCATTGCATCCCATCAGCTCAAGTTCAACTTCTCACACCAGTCACTGCTGCGCTCTTGGTTTCCTCCCAGTCTTAAGGCAGCCCCTCACCTGGGTTCAATTTATTTTCTGCAATCCTGCTGCATGCATGGCAGGAGCCAGCCCACACCAGAGCCTCCAAATGACCTCTTGCATCACAGCGGAGGTCCACCTGCCCCAGGTGCTCATCCTCACCAGCAGCTGAATGTCGTTGTCTGGAGGGAAGGGCAGGAGCAGGACAATAGTTTCAGCTTTGCATGTTACCAATCTCCAGCAACCCCTGGAGTCAGGCATGGGTTGTATGAGACTTAAAGGGATTTCTCTCCCATGAGCCAGTCCAGTCACTGTCATTTTTTAGCATCCAGAATCCTGCAGCAAGGATTTCTACAGGTTAGTTACGGATATGACACGCTGTTTTGGAAACGCCCAGTAATAATACCTGCCTATGATGGTATATCAAGATTACTTCCAATATCCTTCTTCAGAAATGTCATTCTCTATATGAACAAAACCATCTCCAAATTTGTACATGCTCTAAATTCATGTAGAACTGTAAATGTGGCATAAGAAGGACATGTTATGCAGTCAGGGCTGGTGTTTTCTTAACAGTTGCATTTTTAACAATATAAATTTACTTTTATATACATATACTAGACTCAAACATAGGCTTAAATTCTAATCTTTGGTGTATAAAACAAGGTTATGTTAAAGCGTGTCAAATCTAACCTGCCTATGATGCTTAATACTGTAGCCCCTGAGAGAAGAAGATTTACTTTTTCCCATACTCAGTTTAATTTCCTCCTCTCCTTAACCTGTTGTAGAACATTTTATACTCACAATCAAAATACGATAGCTCAACTGCATACTATTAATTTTTTATTTTGTTTCAATTTTTATTTTGCTCTGAATCCAATCCTACTTTGATTTGCAATTGTTTTATGAACTTAAAAGCAAGTGACACTGTCAAGGTATTATTTCATCTGTAATTCTCTTTTTTGCATGCATACGTGAATACTCCAAATCATAATGGTAAGTATGAAGAGGGTTTGTTTTTCTTGTTTGTTTTTCAGACATACAAAAAGCCTTCTGTAGAAATTACAATTACAGCCTCTATTGTTCAGAAGCATGTACTTAAAAGAAACACAAGACAGGCACCGGTTGAATTGCTACTAC